TAGTAAGTATAAGAGGCCAGATTTGAACTCCAGTCATTCTGACTCCAGATTGGCATTCTATCCACTGCACCAGCTAGCTGCCAGGTGAGTGAGGCTTTGAGCAGAGGAGTGACACGGCCAGATTAATCTGGAGAGAGAGAAGGAGAAGAGCATCACAAAGCAGAGCCTAGCAAGACTGGAGTCTGAGGCTGGATTTGAACTCGGGCCTTCCTAAGGCCAGACCCAGTGCTTTATCCATGTTGTCACCTGTGGAATGGGACAAAGAGCCTCTGGCTGCGATCTAAAGGCATATCTACCATCCTGGCACAGCAGGCCCTCTCACTTGCTTGTCTTCTCTAGCCTAGAGCTTCATTCTTTGTCTTTGTATACCTAGCACTATGCCTGGTACATAGTAGGTGCCTAATAAATGCCTGCTGATTGATCTCCAGAGCCCCAGATTTAATGGGAAGGTCTATGGAAGGTCATTTGCTCTATCCATTTTCTTCCAGGGGCTTCCCCACCGTAGTTCCCGGAAGTCCTTCCTGTTGTCTAACCTAATCTCCCTGTTCCCTCGGGGTGGCCCTGGAGGCTTCCTTAAGGCTCAGAGTAAAGTGCAGGCTGGAGAGAGAGCAGGAAAAGCCTGGCTCATGCTATAAAGACAGGCAGAATGCATCTGGTCAGCCAACAAGCCTTTATTAGCCACTTACTATTACATGAAGACAAGCAAATAAGCTCCTGGGGGAGCTTACATTATAATGGGGGTGCTGCTGGGAAGAAGGCAGTGCCCAGGCATGATTAGACTTGACTCGATCCATCTGGATTTGACTCCTTCTCTGCCACTTACTATCTGTGCGACTTTAAGTGTCTTTACCTCTCTGGGCCTCAGTTTCCTCAACTGTAAAATAAAGGGATTGCATTAGTCTCCAATGTTCCTTTTAGCCCTAAATCCTATGACTCTTTGAACCCAGGCCTCCTGAAAGAAAAGGAAGAGGGTAGTAGGATCCTAAGAACAGAGGATGGGAGGGAAATGCACAGAGTGAAGGGAGTGGGAAGTGGGAGATCATTCCTGCTAACTTTTGGGAACTGTCTTGGGCCTGGGCATTGCTCAGGGCACCGACCTCTGCCCTTCCTTCAGGACCCCTGCCTTGGCAGCTCTTGCCATCCCCAAAGCTCTCTGAGGTCCCTGGGGTCTAGGCTGGGGTTACAAGGCACCGGGCCCCCACCTTCAACCCACAGCATCTCCATCGCTGTTATCTGATTGGCCGCTAGACTGACTCCCGCCAATTTCTTGCTCTGTTTCTTTAATCCCTGATTCTCCTCAAGCGAAGATGAAAGAGGCCCAGGTGAAGGGTGTCGGATTTAGCAGGAGGCGGCAGAGGGAATTGACTTCCAACCAAGGCACTGAAGAAGGGTTTCTGCTGGAGTCGGCCAAGCTAAAGCTTGCCCCCCTGAGGGTTCCCCTGAACCAGAGGCTAGCCCTGAAACCCCTGAAACCAACCTTCCCTTCCCCAGACTAAACGTTCTTTTCCCTCTGCTCATGCCAGAGAAGGGGTCCCACTGAGTGACGGTGAGGAAGGAGGGAGCGCTGCAGAGAAGATCAGAATAAGCCTGACCCAAGTTCAAACACAGCAGACAAATAGTACTTAAGGCAGTCTTTAGCCACACTAAGAGAGGCCTGTTGTCCAAGATAGGAAAGTGAGAATCCCTTTATTTTCTGCTTTGGTCAGACCACATTGAGAAAACTGGGCTCAGTTCTGGCCATGGCTTTGCCAATCTGAAGTATATCCTGGGACGGTGAGGGGACACAGAACCATGTCATACAAGGAGAGATAGAGGAACCTGAGTCTGGGCAGCCTGAAAAAGAGGAGACTTAAGAGCTAGGGTCAGATTTTCTGCATGGCCCCAGAGAAATAAACTAGGAGCAATAGATGGGAGCTATAAAGAGAGATTTCTTGCTTGATGTAAGGAAGAAAACTTCAAAACCGAGAATGGACCCCTAAGAAAGATAAAGGGAAGGCAGACTTGGGGGGAGGGGGGAGAAAGATGAGGGGAAAGATGGACTTGGATTGGGGAGAGAAGAGAGAGAGAGATAGGAGAGGGAAGGGGTGAAGGAGGGAGTGTGGGGGACGGATGGGCAAGGGGGAGAAAAAAAGAGGTGAGGGATGGGCCAGAGAGTGATAAGGACAGAGGGACAAAAGAGAAGGGACTGGAAGCCCATCTATCGGAGATTTGGAATTTGGAAACCAGGAACCTTGGGCTCGGGGTTACCAGACCCTCAAGTAACCAAAACTCACATTGAACCTCCAGGTCTGGCTCCGTGGGCCAATAGAGGATCACAAAATAACAGACATTTTAGAAATGTAAGCTACCTCAGAGACTACCTACTCCACCGTCTGCATTTTATGGAAGAGTAAACTAAGACCAGACGGGCTAGTACATAGCAGAGTCAGGATTTAAACCCAGCTCCTCTTCCTATTCAGGGCCCTTGCCATCCCTGGCTGCTGCCACCTGTTCTGACCTGCCTGTCTGGTTCCTCCAAGCCTATGCACTTTCTCATCTTTCCCTTAACCACCAAACCCCGGACCTTTCCCCTTTCACTTGACTCACTGACTTCTTCCAGCTCAATCCCTTCCCCCAATCTGGCAGTCTGGGAGCAGCCTCTGAGAACACACAGCTTAGAGGCTTCAGGAGGGCCCTGGGCTATGGTCTATTCCCACCCTGCCCCAGGGCTGTTGTTATTCCTTGGTGGAGAGCAGGAAAAAATTCAAATCATGGCAGAGTTGCCTTAGTGGGCTGCAGTAATTAGGCCACTTGTTTTGCAAAAGTCCAAAATGAAATGGAAAATTTGGTGCTAATGAAAATGTTGGAACAGGGTTGTTTATTTGTTTGGTTTTTTAAAAACTTGATTAAATCCAGCTCTCTTCCTTCATCGAGTTTGGGAATAGCCAGGCCCCAGCAAGGTCCCCCAGCGGAGCAGCTGCCATTATGATCACACAGTCTGTGATACAAAAAACAGGAGAAGGAAACCACTGGGGTGGCTGGGGGTGGGGAAAGAGGAGGTACCCTTCAGTTAAGTGTTCATTTGAAAAATGACCTTCATAAGGCTCTGATTGCAGCTGTGGCTGCCTCAGCCTCTGTCCCAGGGGAGGAATCCCAGGCCACCCGAGGGAGCCCAGAGAGCTTTCAGGATAAGCTTTTGCATCATCTCTGGCCAGATGCTGCCATAGTCTGGGCTTGCAAGGCCTGGGCATAAGGAGTGGACCGGACACCCTTCGAGGTCCCTTTCTGCACACGGATTCCAGGAGTCCTTAGTTCTATGACACCTCTCTCCAAGTTGGGCAGGTCCTGACAGGGGCTTCTGCCCCAGGAACTGTAGGATACTAGATAGAGAGCTGGAAGAAGCACAGAGGCCAAATAGTCCAACCCCTTCTTTTACAGATGGAGAAACTGAGGCCCAGAGAGATTAAGTGACTTTTCCAAAGTTACACGGGGGGTAAGTGTCAGGGTGGAGGTTTGAACCAAGGGCTCGACTGCCTCTTTCATCTAATTCTAGACCAATCTAACACACCTTTGACACAACACTTGATGTGTGTAAGGCACTGTGCTAGATTCTAGGGATACAAAGACAGAGAGCAAAACGGTTCCTAACCTCACGAAGCTAGGGTTGTCCCAAAGAGATAAAAGTGAGACATGATGAAAAATATGATCATTTGAGGAGAAGAGAAAAGCATTATCATCTAGGAGAATCCTTAGGACAGGAGATAGCACATTGCCTGAACGTCGGAGAAAGCCAAGAATTTTTTTTAAGTAGCTGCATTGAATGAATACATGCATGAATGAGTGAATTTAAGCTCTTAGAGATTGAAGACTTTATCCCCAGCACTTAGCACAGAGCCTGGCACATAGTAGGGACTTTCGTAAATGCTTATTGATTCAGTGATTGTTTGAGCACGTATGGACCCTAGGAACTCCTAATGTAAACCCTCTTTGCTAATTTGTAAGTAAAATGAGTATCCAGGCTTTCCCTCCTTGATACTCAAGCAGCTCTTGTAACATCCCCAAGTAATTTTCCTGCCTCTGCTTCAAGCCCTTAAGTGATGGTTAGCCTACTGCCTACTGAGGCAACCCATTCCACCCTTGCCTAGCTGTAATTGTTAAAAATCCACTTGAGAGCCTAAATCTGTCTGTCTGCAGGTTCTACCTATTGGTTCTTGTTCTGTCCTCTGGAGACAAGCAGAAAAAGTCTAGTCTCTTTTCCATGTGACAGGCCTTTGTGATCTCAAGTCACCTAGAGTTGGAAGCACAGGCAGGTGCCTGGGGGAGGGCACAATGGAAGCAATGGTAAGAATAACTGGCAGGTCAGCTGTGGCTTTAAGTTAAACTGAAGTATCTTCCTGCTCAGTGTAAAGGTCCCAGTTCTGGGTGTTCGATCTTATCTGCCCCTGATATTACCCTGTATGTCTAAATCATGTGCTCATTTTGAGTTTATCTTTGTGTATGGTGTGAGGTGCTGGTCTATGCTGAGTTTCTGCCAGACCATTCACTTCATGATAGAAAACTGAAAAACTCACGGTGCAGATTGATGGATGCATGGTTGTTGTTCTCTCTCTCTCTCTCTCCCTCCCTCCTTCTCTCTCTCTCTCTCTCTCTCTCTCTCTCTCTCTCTCTCTCTCTCTCTCTCTCTCTCTCTCTCTCTCTCTCTCTCTCTCTCTCTCTCTCTCTCTCTCTCTCTCTCTCTCTCTCTCTCTCTCTCTCTCTCTCTCTCTCTCTCTCTCTCCCCCTCCCTCCTTCCTACTCTCTCTCTGTCTTGTTTTTTTTTTAAATATGTTCATACAAGTCTTCCCAGGTTTTTTTCTGAAACCACATCCTTCATCATTTCTTCAACACAATAGTATTCCATTTTATTCATGTAGGATAACTTGTTCAGCCATTTCCCAATAGATGGGCATTCCTTTGCCACCATAAAAAGAGCTGCTATAAATATGGAAAGCAGTTTGGCACAAATTCAGCATAGACCAGCATCACACAACGCTGAAATTTGTTTTGCATCATTTTATATTTGTAACAGATTTTGCATTTCTTGTCTTCTTAGTGGGTGAGGTGAAGGAGAATATCTGGAACTGAAAATAAAATAAAATTGAATTTTTTAAAAAGTGATCATGAAAATTACCCTGTCACAGCTTGGGCAGTACCTCAACTTTTTAACCTAGTATACAACTAAAATCTTCTCTAAATACCTTGGTCCCAGTGATTCTCCCTTAAGTTCCAGGCCCCGACTCCAGTTTCCTGTTCCGTTTCCCACCCCCACCCTAATACCCTTGGACAGATCTGACCCCACTGGCACTCAGTCTAGATCAAGCACAGTGGTTATTTGTAAAGCACCCTCGCATGGTGCCGGGTACACAGTTAGCACTTAATAAATGCTTATTCCCTCCCCACTCCCTTCCCTTGTTTCATTGTACAATTCCAAGCTCAGTTTCAGCCAATCAGGAAACAGGGTGATCGTGTGGGCAGGTATTTGAGAGTTGTCAGTAGCATGGACTCTTAGCTGTCTCTCCTAGCACCCTGTGCTCCTTCTCAGTATCCCACTTGGGGCTGGGGTGGAGGTCAGGAAGAGAAAAGGAAAAGGTGTCCCTCTCCTGTCTCCCTCTTCTTCTTTCAGCTTTGAGGTAACCTTAGACAGCTTTAATAGGAGCACAAGGGAGATAAGGGTCCCACCACCATGTGCTCCACTTAGACCGTAGCTGAATGATTGGGGCTCAGTTCTAGGTGCCACATTTTAGGAAGGATACTGACCAACTAGAGAGTGTCCTAGAGAAGAGCAGGAGGGCAATGAAGGGTCTAGAAATCCAACTACAAAACTGGGGCTTATCACCTTTTCTGGGTCATAGACCACTTTGGCAGTCTGGTAGAACTTAATGGACCCCTTCCCCAATGCATAAAAGAAAATGCATCAAATTACAAATGGAATTAGTTATACTGAGATGTAATTATCAAAGTAATTTTTTGAGAAATTAACAGACCCCTTGAAATCTATCCATGGTCTACTTGGAAATCCATGGACCCCATGTCAAGAAGCCTGCTATAGAAGCTGGTAGAATAAACTTGGAGTGCTTATCCTAGAGATTAGAACCCTAGGGGGCAACATGAGAGCTGCCTTCAAGTGTTTCAAGGGCTATAATGAAAAATAGAGATCGGACTGGTTCTGCTTGGCCCCAGAGGGTTGATCTAAAACCAATGGGGAGAAATTACAGAAAGACAAATCCCAAATATAGGGAGAAAATTCCTTAAAATTAGAGCTCTTCAAAAGAAGAATGTATTGTCACAGGAGAGAGTGAGCTCCCCGTCACTGGCGGTCTTTGAGCAAAGCTGGATGACCTTTATTGTTGCGGATGTAACAGAGGGGACTTCTGCTCTGGTATTGATGACTAAGGTGACTCACCAGGTACTTTCTTCTGAATGCTGAGGTTCTGTGAGTTTGTGATTCTATGTCCTCCTCTAGTACCTTGGAGGTACCAGAACACCACTCCAACTGTCCATCTGTTGTATCTCTCTCTCACTACATGCCTCCTTTTCTGGTCCAAGAAAAACAAAACCTGTTACAAACATGTATAGCCAACCAAAGCAAATCCCTATATTGATCAAATTTTTTAAAAAAAAATACATCACTGAGAACTTTTCATTGCAGAAAAAAGTATATGATGTACTTAGTATACATTGAATAATAATAATAGAATACCTATTAGAGAAATGACTATTAATAGCCAATGTTTTGTGGAGAACCAGAGTTCCCCCTTTTTCTAAAGTCCTCATTTCAAAGCTAGTCTCTGAAAGCTGAACTAACTTTCTCTTGGATCATGGTCAGATCCCACCCAACCTTACAAGGAATCTAATCTCAGGTGAATTCCTGCCCATTGTGTTCCACTCAAACAAGTTTGAGTGGAGGTAGATCTTTCCTGTAGATTGTCCAAGACTGGGGGTGGTCTGGGTGTAGAGATAATCTCTTTGGCCAAGAGTGATGTGATGTCACTCTTCCAGCCCCTCATTGGCATGAGCCCACTTTTTGAGTACACTTCTCATGAATTGTTAACCAATCAGAGTTGATTGCTACCCTCAGGAACACCGACTCTTCGAAACGCATGTAAACTCAGAGCCCTTTGCCTTGATGGGTCTTCAACATTCAAGAATGACCCTTTTTTCCCCCTTTCCTTTGGTGAGGCAATCAGAGTTAAATGACTGGCCTAGGGTCACACACTTGTAAGTGTCAAGTGTCTGAGGCCGGATTTGAACTCAGGTCCTCTTGACTCCAGGGTCTGTGCTTTATCTACTGCACCACCTATTTGCCCCTGATCTTTTTAATTAATAAATGCTAGCATTATTAATAAAATCATTACCCAGAAATAACGTCTCTCAAACTTTTTAAACATTACACATAGTATGGTAAATATGGCATTTTTAAACAGAACTTGCCAACCTCAAAACATTTCTGGCTTTGAACTTGCAAAACCGCCAGCAAAAATATCAGCTCCTATTGAAGGCAACCTGCAGATGTGTGCGTCTGCGGCTCACTTGTAGTGTTGCCAACTTAAACACGAAATGCCTCAAGGGAAAGGATACTATCCAGTGAGCACAAAGAGTTTGAGTCACTAATCTAAAGGACCCAAGCCCTGGACATTAAACTCGGTCAAGCCCAGGAAGTTCCCAGCTCATTGTATTCTCCAGACTGGGTCAGATTGCATTTAGTCTACAACTTTCACTTGGCCCCATAGTTTCTACTTTTGTGAATATCTAAATTGCACTTGACTCCTAACCCTTGGATTAACTTCCCAAATGCCTTTGTTGTTCAGTCCCTGAGCTTCCATGTAAATGGTGGGCTGCCCTGGGTCACTGCTTCTCCTTCTGCTACCAAGCAAGCCTTCCCATAGCCATGTGAGGCTTCACCAAGGATATTTATTAACAGACATTTATTAGCTGTGTGACCTTGGGCAAGTGACTTTACTCCAATTGCCTCAAAAAAACTAGTAAAATAATTTTTTTTTTTAAAATAGAGAATGGCAGCCTTCAACCCAGAGCTCTCCTGAGTCCTGGCCAAAAAAAAAAAAAGTGAATTAGAATCCACCCACCTAAGTACTCTTGTCCAAGCTGGTTAACAATCCTTGGTTCACTTTTAGCCAGTCGGGAGGCAACATGGTATAAAGGCAAGAGCGCTGGATTTGGAGTTAGGAGAACAGGTTCAAATCCTCACCTTGACGTATGATTTGGGGAAAGTTCCCTCTCAGCGACCCCCTCTGTAAAGTGAGAAGGGTAAATTAAAGGGATGACCTCTGTGGTCTCTTTCAGCTTGCAGTCCTGGGATTCTAAGGTCCTTCTGGCACGGATGGGACCACTTAAATCACTACTGGTTTATGACCCTTCTGCTGTCAAGAGGAAGACAATGAAATGTTAAGAGGTAAAGCCCATACCTTAAAATAATGCAGTACAACAAGCAGATGGAAGAAAGAGATATTGGGATTGGGGGCAGGAGGAGATCTGGGTTTGAATCCTGACTCCAGCTGTTATTAGCAGTGTGATTATGGACTTTGCCTCTCAGAATCACAGTTGCATCATTCATATTCTTTGCATAAACTATTTCTCAGGATTGTTGTGGGGAGAATACTTTATCAGCATTACAAAGACACAGACAGGTAATCTATTCTTATTGCTATACCCCCACCCCCCAAAAAAAGCTCCCCCAGACCATCTCTTTTATCACACTAGACCTGGGTAGTTAAGAATGAGAAGGAATTGTGGATTGTGATTCCTCCAAGGAAGCTCATGGAAGGCTGCAGCCTGTGCATCCCACTTCTTGGGCCAGTCTCCCCAACCCCACCCCCAGTGCCTGGACATTAAATGTGGAGAGATGGGGTGGGAGGGTCTCCGGTTTGGAGGAGATGGGGTGATGGTGGGAGGAAGAGCATGGAGAGAAGATAAAAAGAGGCCGCAAAATTGCTGATCCAAGATCCTGCCTCCATCCAGGGCTAGGATCTGAAAAATGAATTCTGTAAAAAATTTTACAGTCAAATTACCAGCAGCTTGGCTGCATGATCACCTGCAGGATAATAAAGGTTTCATGACATTTCACTTAATGGCCAGGATGCCAATGGGAGGGTGGGAACCCTTGGTCACCCTCCCACCCCAGGAAGTACCTCCCGTGCCTGGCCCTGGTGCTGTCCACATAACTGCGCCAGAAAGAATCACAGAATCATAGACTATCAGAGTTACATGCATCTTTAGAGAACTTTAAAGAACTGAAACCAAACCCATCACTTTACAGACAGAAAAACTAAGTCCTACAGAAGGCAAAGTGACTTGTCCCAGGTCAGAGTCATGTCTAGGGCTAGGTGACTGGGGCTTTGCTCCAGGGTGTTGACAATTGGGGGGTGGACTTCCTATGTATCTTTAGCCTCAGCTTTGCCCAAGGTCACAACCAGAAAGCAGCAGATCTGAAGTGTGAAGCCAGGAACTCTTTCCACACACCAGCAAAAGATGCTGTTTCCCATCCCTGGGCAACTCAAAGACAATAGGTGGGATTGGGGGAGGTCTGAAGGAAGAGATGAAGTAGGCCTGTCCCGAGCAGGAATACAGATGTGATGAATCCTCCAAGGCACCCCACCATCAGGAGCTTCCTCTTTCTATCCCCACATTCCTGGACAGAAATAAGTACTGATATCTGTCCTTAGAGGGCCAGTTCTAACCCAGACTTGAAAGACACTTCTCATCTCATCTGCATTTGAGAAAGACACATAGGTCATCACCCTGGGGTGAGGATGTGACCTGAATTTTTGGAGCACCAGGGACCTAGCCACAGAGACTTACACTCCAGATCCAAATCTCAAAGTCATCCCTGTCTGCTCCCTCTTCCCCTAGCATCCCATCAGTTATACCCCACTACTCTCCTTAACTCATTGCAACATGGATTTGTACAGTCCTATTGACTCTGTATCTCTCAAAAAGAAACCCTTTTTATTGTTCTGCATATCAACCTCAGTGAAGCTGAAAAGATCCTGAACCCCTAAAAAGATAACTTTTTGAAACGGAAGACATATCTCAGCATATACAAATAAATCATACCAATTGCAAGCTGCCCTTGGGTTTTATGCAAGTCACATTTAGGGGGAAATGGCATATTAAGATAAATAAGTGTGAGTCTACACACCACTGACAGAAGTGGGAATGAAAACTTGGACCACCAAGGCTGAGCTGCAGAAAGCTTCTGGGAGAACTGTCTGACTTAATTTCCCTACTCTCTCACACAACACACTGTATACCACAAAAAATGAGCCAGTCTGGCAGTAGTCCATCAGAAATAAACTCAGTCCAGAGGGGCGGAGTCAAGATGGCAGAGTGAAAGCAGCGACTTGCTTGAGCTCTCCCCCAAACCCCTCTAAATACCTGTAAAAAATGGCTCTAAACAAATTCTAAAGCAGCAGAGCCCACAAAAAAAGACAGAGTGAAGCAAATTTCCAGCCCAAGACAACCTGGGTGGTTGATCAGAAGGGTATATCACACCGGTCTAGGAGAGGAGTGCAGTGTGGCATAGGTGCAAAGGCTGCAGCAAACCTGGAGCAGGCCTCAGAGGACTGAATCGCAGGCAGCTGTGGAGGTTTCCAGACTTCTCAACCCATGAACACTCAAGACAACTGAGAAGGTCAGTGGGAAAAGTCTGTTTCTGGGGTGCTGAGAATGGAGCATGGGGTCTCAGCTCCAGTTTCCCGAGAACGCTGAGCGCGGAGCCTGGGGGGCAGCAGCTGCCTCCTGAGCTTCTGGCTCACAAACTGAGGGGGAATACAGTGGCTGATCAGAGAGGGTTTGCAGGGATCTCTTTGTCAGTACTGAGGCAGGAATCGCTTGCTTTGCCCGGGCTTGGATCTGGGTCACAGTTCTGGGCGGCGGTCCTGGGGCGAGGAGGAGCACTGACGCAATGGAGCTTGTAGTGGTTGTGAAGAGGAACCCCTCCTCACAGTTTCAGGACAGAAAGGAGTGCTTGTGGTCGCTAATAGACCAGAGCACAGGACAAGAAAGGAGTAAACACCTTGACCCTTATCATACCACCTTGGAAGAACTGAAAATTTACAGGTCCCTACAAGTATCTCTGAAAACAGCTGTATAAACCCCTGAAGCTTGGGACAGTACATTCTCCACATTGGAAGCAGACTCTTACCTTAACAAAGAGTTTAAAACTCAAGTAATTGGCTGGGATCATGAGCAAGCAGCACAAAAAGAGTCAGACTATATTATCTTACTTTGGTGACAAAGAAGATCAAAACATACAACCAGAAGAAGACAACAAAGTCAAAGCTCCTACATCCAAAGCCTCCAAGAAAAATATGAATCAGTCCCAGGCCTTGGAAGAGCTCAAAAGGGATTTTGAGAAGCAAGTAAGAGAAGTAGAGGAAAAACTGGGAAGAGAAATGAGAGTGATGCAAGAAAATCATGAAAAACAAGTCAACAGCTTGCTAAAGGAGACCCAAAAAAATACTGAAGAAAATAACACCTTAAAAAATAGCCTAACCCAAATGGCAAAAGAGGTCCAAAAAGCCAATGAGGAGAAGAATGCCCTAAAAAGAAAAATTGGCCAAATGGAAAAGGAAGTCCAAAAGATTACTGAAGAAAATACTTCCTTAAAAATTAGAATAGAGCAATTGGAAGATAGTGACTTTATGAGAAATCAAGACACTGTAAAACAAATCCAAAAGAATGAAAAATTAGAAAACAATGTGAAATATCTCATTGGAAAAACAACTGACCTGGAAAATAGATCCAGGAGAGAGAATTTAAAAATTATTGGACTATCTGAAAGCCATGATCAAAAAAAGAGCCTAGACATCATCTTTCAAGAAATTATCAAGGAAAACTGCCCTGATATTTAGAACCAGAGGGCAAAATAGAAATTGAAAGAATCCACAGATCTCCTCCTGAAAGAGATCCCCAAAGGAACACTCCTGGGAATATAATAACCAAATTCCAGAGTTCCCAGGTCAAGGAGAAAATATTACAAGCTGCCAGAAGGAAACAATTCAAGTACTGTGGAAACACAATCAGGATAACACAAGATTTAGCAGCTTCTACATTAAAGGACGCAGGGCATGGAATATAATATTCCAGAGGGCAAAGGAGATAGGATTACACAACCAAGAATCACCTAAGCAAAACTGAGTATAATCCTTCAGGGGAAAAAATGGTCATTCAGTGAAATAGAGGACTTTCAAGCATTCTTTGATGAAAAGACCAGAGGCTAATAGAAAATTTGACTTTCAAACAAGACTCAAGTGGAACATGAAGAGGTAAACAGGAAAGAGAAATCATAAGAGACTTATTAAGGTTGAACTGTTTACATTCCTGCATGGAAAGATGATATTTATAACTCATGAGACCTTTGTCAGTATTAGGGTAGTTGGAGGAAAAAATTATATGTATGTATGTAGATAGATAGATAGATAGATAGATAGATAGATAGATAGAGGCACAGGGTGAGTTGAAGATTAAGGGGTCATATCTGGAGAATAAAATTAAGGGATGAGAGAGGATTATACTAGGAGAAGAAGAAAGGGAGAGGTAGAATGGGGTAAATTATCTCACAAAAAAAAAGAAAAGAAAAGTTCTTACAGTGGAGGGGAAACAGGGGAAGGTGAGAGGGAATGAGTGAATCTTATTCTCATAGGATTTGGCTTAAGGAGGGAATAACATACACGTTCAATTGGGTATGGAAATCTGTCTTACCCTACAGGAAAATAGGGGAGAAGGGGACAAGAAGCAGGGGGATGATAGAGAGGAGGGCAGATTGGGAAAGGGGTAATCAGAAGTAAATACTTCTGAGGAGGGACAGGGTCAAAAGAAAGAATAGAATAAATGGGAGGGCAGGATAGGATTAAGGGAAATAGAGTTAGTTTTTCACAACATGTCTACTATGGACGTGTTTTGCATAACTGCACATGTACAATGTATATTGAGTTGCTTGCCTTTTCAATGAGGGTGGGTGGGGGAGGAAGGAAGAGAGAAAATTTGAAACCTAAAGTTTTAAAAACATGTTTTAAAAAAAAGTTTTCACATGCTACTGGGAAATAAGAAATACAGGAAATAGGGTACAGAAGTCTATCCTGCCCTACAGGAAAATAGAAGGGGAAGGGGATAAGAGAAGGAGGGAGAGATAGAAGAGAGGACAGACTAGGGGAAGGGGTATTCAGAATGCATGCCATCTTGGTGTGGGTAGGGGGACAAGATGGGGAGAAAATTTGGAACTCAAAATCTT